CGTGTGCTTTCCGATCTCCCCAAAACCCCAAAACCCCAAAACCCCATCGTGTGAAATATTTGAATTTGACATCAAAGAAATAATTTAAAATAAACTAAATTGAATGAGTGTTCCCAACAGAAAAAATACGATTCCCACGAATTACTACCCAAATTTAGTAATGAATGGTATTAAAAATGATCAAATATCTCTGAGTTAGAAAAGCCAGTAATAGCATCAAGGACAGTCTTAGCATATTTTTTCTGAGAGGATCCCTGTATTTTTAGAGAATCTGCCTTATTATGGACTAATGCCAATGGGTAAGCCATATTTAAGTTTGATCTCCAACTAATTTTTATAGTCTTCTTTATGCCTAATATATCTGATGATGATAAGAAGTTCATTGAGTTGAATGGAGGTCTTATGTCTTTGATTGTTGAGTGCTTCACATTTTAAATAGGTAGAGAGCCTATAAAGGAATCTATTTATCATGCAGGTCCAATTTATGACATCAATTGGTTGAGGAACTCCGAGAGAGCTGGGAAGTTGATTAATCCTGAGCCATATCTTCTGAAGATTATAGACTATCAATGTCCAGATGAGCACTATTAGCATCATTCAAATGGACAGTAATCTAATCAAGGGAGCAAGAAACAGCAGGGGCAGAGAACTAGGTTCACAATTCGAGAATTGATCAAGATATTCGAGGTCACTCATTAGAACCCTTGCAAAAAGAACAAAAATTAAGTCTACTGGCAAAGATTCATCAGAAAAGGCTGTTTTCCCGGCAGAAGTGTAAATTCTGTAAATGCTCAGTGGCAGAGGTTTTGTCACTACGGGTCTGTTAAGGAAGCTATAGAAAAGGCTATTTAGATTGGAATGCCATACTCAACGATGTACCCAACTGCAACTTTTGACTTAAACTCAAAGATGTACATTCTTAGCTCAACAATCATCAAGGCAGAGATTGATGTCTTCTCCAATAATCAAAATAATAAAAATTAAAGTAAAGCAAAAAAGTAGCTCAACCAATCGTCTACAATAAACTCATCTGCATTGTCATACACTCAAAGTAATGGATTCAAGATTGATTCTGTTCCTAATGTAAATCCAGGTAGGGAAAAATATCTCAACCCAGATGAAGGCAGAAAGCAGGGAAAGCTTCTCAGTAAAAGATTGCTAAATTAAAGTAATTGCATAAAGGATGAAGAGTTTAATCCAAGCTCAATGATAAAAGGTTATTATGACAAGCCGTATAATGAGTCTTTTGTAAGATCACCACCTAGGTCTGTTGAGTCCTATAAAGATCAGGAAGATAGAGATAACTACTCATTTGACTCTAATAAAAGTGACGACATAATTTAAATTAAAAGGGAGTCTAGAGGATCAAAAATTTCATTGCAAAAGTAAAGTGGATGTGATGATATTGATCATTACTAGGAGAGAAAGTCTCATCATTAAAGCCATTATTACGATCTTAGAAACCAGCATCAAAAGTTTCCTTAGTAAATGAATATAAGTTCCAAGAGAGCAAACTTGCTCTAGCCATAGCCAAGGATAAGTTATCATTCTCAAAATTCCTCAGAGATCAAAGTTAAACCAATCTTCACAGCTAACACTGATACCAGAGCTTCTTAGAAACATATTATACCTGGAAATGCTTTTAACCCCCATATGTTTAAAGATGGTGAAATGGATATTTAAAGGAATAGCAATTTTTAGAACTATGTTGAGAACATTCAAGCCTGCAATCTAGCCCCTCTTGGCAATATCAGAGACTCACTCAATTAAAGTTCATTTAATAGTAACTCATTTCAAAACATGTCGGAGTGCATATTTTGCATAGCTAAGAGAATATATGTTCAAACTAACAGTGACAAAGTGACTAACATACCTCTTTTTGAAAGATTTTTCAAATTAGATGAAGAAGCTCATAATCTACGACTAAAGCAATTGGATAACTTTATGATATTCAGTGATATGAAAACCAGGGGATTAGTCAATTAGAGTGATTAGAAAAGAAAATAGGAGCAGTCGAAGCTCAGACAAATAGAGTAGGTCCTGGAGGGATATGGTTTTGATCAATAAAATGAGGAGGGGTCAGAGCAGATTATCAATGATAACAATGAAGGCTCCTACTCTGACTATCTTGTAAATAACAATTGCAATAATCATTATGATTAAGAATAAGCCATTAACTTTTGAGAGCTCTTAATTGATTATCTTTTTCAAATTTGATTTTATTGATATAATTGAAATGATTATTTTATTAGAAATTGTTTTGATCACTATAGTTTGTCATAATATCTGAAAGAGGGGTTTTGGGGTTTTGGGGTTTTGGGG